GAAGAGAAGTCTAAGAACATAGCATTGGTGCTGAAGGCAAAGTGGCTTAATATTTATTTTAACATTCAGGTATCCAGTGACTTAAATTCCCTAAACAGGTTTTGCCTCCATTGCAGAAGTACTAGTAAAATTATTTTTTATAGCAGGATGAAAGTTCAAATCTTGAAAGCCACAGATGGCCTCTGTGTAGCTCAGGTCTGCGAGGTTCGGCACCTTCTCTAGCCTGAAGGGCCACAAGGTTCTCCCTCTGCATCTCACCCTGCTGTTGGGTTGCTCTCCAGACTCCAGGACTATGGATCGGGCTGCATACTCCAACTTTCTGTGAGGATACCAAGAAAGCACTGCCATCTCCTCTCCAGCGTTAGCTTTACCCTCATTTTCCCTACAAAATATGCTGGGCCTTTTCAGGCAGGGTGCTCTGAAAGGTGTGTACCAACCTTACGCTGTGGCTCCCAGTGGCTTCAAGGGGGTGGAAGAGATGCAGCTCTGCTGCCCCTCAGCCCTCTAAGAAGGTGAGGATGCGGCCAGTAGGATGCGTTGCAGGAACTGGGAAGCACTGGGAAGGTTTCGCAGCGCTATGGTAATATTAATACAGCATTATGAGGAATCCCCAAATGGCTGATTAACTGTCGAATTGTGATGCTGTGCCTGCATGTGATGGTAGCTGGGAAAAATGCAGCAAGGCAAACTAATTAAAATACTAACCTGGAGTTGCTCCACATGTCTGCTTTTTTATCCCCTCTTTTTTTTTCTCTGTTTTTTTTTTCTCCTCCTTTTTATTTCCTCCCTTGCCCTTCATTTTCCCTTTTTATTATTTATAAAATTCCCTTTTATCATTTTCTTCCCATCTAGCCTCTTTCATTTCTCCTTTTCTCTTAGCCCCTCTATGCCCCACATTGCATTTCCCTTTCTGTTAATCAGTCCTTCCCCAGATCCTGACACCTCATGGGAACCCTCGTTCAAGGGCTTTAAGGCCGATTTTACAGTTTTTTCCTCTCTTGTTCTTTTCTTTCCTGCTTCACAGGGGTAGGGACTGTTAGTGTGACTGGCAGAGGGCTCCTGTTGAGGCTGCTGCTGCTGGAAGAACAAACTTGCTGTAGGTCCCTGAAGGGACCTACCAACGTCCAGCGGAGTATTTTCAGTGTTTCACACACAGATTAAGCACTTCACAGAAAAGCTGTTTTGGTGCAGGCGCAGTGTGATGTTTGTGTGTAAAGTGGGAATGATGATGGCGCTGGGGGTGCAGAGAGGGAGAAGAATTAAGCAGGCTTTCCAAATAGATCGTCACAAAATACTCATTTAATTGAGGGGAGGAAAGCACCGCCATCTCTTTCATCGGTATTAGAAATAGTGTGTTCCTGGAGTTGTTGGTTTGGATTTTCACTTGTGATAGGCCAGCTGTTATGTCATTTGCTGGCACTAATTGCTTCAAGACTTAAGCTAATCATGTTCCTGAAGAAGCCCAGCTCAGCTGGGCAGCTCCAGTTCTGTGTCTCTGTCCAGCCTGGGGCAGGGAGGGCTCGGTGCCACTGGGACATTTCCCCAAGCCAGCCCCATTTTTCCTGTGCTCCCACCAGCTCTTCCATGGCGTGGCCCACGTGCACGGGGCTCCAGAGGGGCTGGAAGGGCCTTGGCAGAGGGAAAGAATAGGTGTTGTTTTGTTAAGGAATTACTCATTACATCCGGAAGGTCTCTGATGGCACAACCTTCTAGAAGACTCTCCCTGTCAAAAGCAAACTTACTACCAATTCAGTTTATTCTTTCCTGTTAGATTGAAAATCAGAGCAGGTGAGTTGGGGTACAGCCTGCACGAGGCTCACATCCCGCACCAGCAGTCAGAGGCTTCACAGCGTTCAGGAAGTCAACTCAGAAGTTTTTAATGGCGCTTAAACTCAAATTTAATTTCACTTTCAATCACGTTGTGTCAAATTTAACTAAAGATTAGGTGACAGGCAGTCAGGCTGAACTGCTGCTCTGTACCTCTTCGTTTTGCTTTCCTGCCAGCCCTGCATGAATAGATTTAGGTTTCTTTTAATTTGCATAAAGGTAGGGGTGAGTGTGCTCATAAGAAAATATCTGCATTCCCTAAAGCCTTTGTTATGCAAGTAAGCAAACACCACGGATGTAAAATGCCATTGTGTGACATTTGCAGCACTAAATATCCAATTTTGTGTTGGGCAGAAAATGTTGGGTTTTTTTCCTGATGCACAGCTTGATTCCTAAGTTATTTTCTGGCTTTCCCTGTGACTAGAGAAAGGATGTCGTGCGTGGTAGAGGAAATGGATAGTCTTTGAGATTCAGATTTTATACGTGGCATGTATAAAACATATGTTTGAACCTCAGTCCATCCCCAGAAATGATTTCCCCCAGGCTAGATTGGTGGGCATCCGTGTTTGCTTTTTGATTTATTTTTTTTTTCTTGCTTCTGCAATGCAGGTTGTAACCAGCTTCCTAGGACTGTCTGAACATTTTTACTTAGTAAACTTAGTGGCTGTGCCCTTAAACATCTCTTTGCTCTCTTTATCTGGCACACTGTGTTTTACATGGTTTTCAGCCTGTTGTACTAAAAGCATTAAATGGGATGTTGACAAGCATTTTGTGATTTATGGCTTTGTAAGTGTAGGAGATGGGTGTTCATGGACTCCTCTGGGCAGAAATGTCCATAGCATGACTGCTGGTGGTTGCTGGGGGCCAACCTGACTGGTCTGTTCCTTCAGCCTTCTCCACAAAGGGTTACTTTCTTATAAGAACCTTATAGAAAATTTATCTTCATAATGCCTTGCAGAGTTGGACTTTTAAATTTTGAGAGTCCAGACCATTGCCCTCACTCTTGGAGCTACTGTTTTAAAACAAAAGATGCTATGCCTTTCTTAATTTTAGGTGGGATTCAATCGTAGTTCCTGTTTCATTTCTTTTTTTTTTTTTCCCTCCTGTTCCAGAGGAGAGACTGTTTTACACACAACTCATTTTTTTAGTGCCTTAGTTTGAAAGGGTGTCTCACTATGTGCTTTCTCTTGCTAGGTGCTTTCATAAGCACCTTCTTTGTTTTCCTGGTAATTAAGTGACTCAGGCTGGTAGCATCTTCCAGACTGTCCCTCTGCCTAAGTGAGGTATCCTGAGCGTAAGCCTAGAGTTAAACAGACACATCTCTGTTCTCTTTATTCCTGTGATCTTACATCAGTTCACCAGTTATTATTTCCTCTTGTCAAATGAAGCAATAGCAAAGCTTTGAAATGATGTTGCAGCTTTTCCAAAGAACAATTTCCCTCTCCTCTCGCCTCCTTCTGCCTTCCCCTGTATATTTGATAGTACATCAGCTTCCTCTTGAAATGATCCCCAGTAGAGCACTTCAGCTATTTCAACCGGGGTTTTTCTGAAGATATTTTTTAAAAAAAAACACCTTCTACAGCAAAGTTTGGTTATAATGAAGAACAATAAAAAAAAAAAAAGTCCTTCTGCCTTGGAGAGCCAGTCTTGTGCCCACTCATGCATGTGGTGAACTCTGTGCCTGGAATATCCCCACTGGATTCGGTCACTGGTATTGTTTGCACACACAGAGTTTAGCACCTGTGTAAGTTCTTGCAAGGTGATGGCTTTAAATCTCACTAGAAGCTAAAAGGATATTGCAGTGCAGTACAGGCTAAACCAAGGCAACTCACATTCACTGTCTTTTTTTTTTTTTTTTTTTAAATTATCTGTGTTTCTAAAGTGGCTGTTATTTAGCAGCACATAATGAAGAGAATCACGATGATCTTCCAAAGAATTTCTTCACCCCACGCCAATACTTGTCAATGCTTTGATCTAGGCAGGATATTCAGGAAACTTGCATTCTGGGCAATTTCCCAGTGATGCTGAGTGAATAACTGATATAATAGAAGACACTAAGGGCTATAGGATTTATACCTAGCACAGTTTCTGGGATTAATAAATGACATAACCAAAACCCCTCCAGAGTTAGTTTCTTGCTGTTCCTGAAGGATGAAATTTGGGCTTAGTCTGCTCCAGTGTTTCTCTTTGATGTAACTGCCTAAGAAATCACAGAACTTTTGGGTTGACAGGATTTTAAATGTTTATGGGTTTGAAAATAAGGACTAGATAAGGAGTGTATCAGGTGTCAGATTAATGGCCAGCCTGCAGTGCAGAGATCTTGTGTGAGGTGCTGTCATTGATAGCTTTGGCTAGAGGAGAAGTTACTCTGCATGGAGTTGTTTGCAGCATGTGAGTGGAGCAGAAGCAGCCTGTCTGGGTGGCCCAAATCTTCACATAAATCCATGGAAATCCTGGCATATGTTCACTGAAGTTCACAGTTTTTACAGCTTTTCTGTACAAAAACTTCATGGTGAACAGAACAATGACAGGATGCAATGGGCTATTCACAATATCACAGAATTTTCCTGGGGGGCATTGCTAATACCAGTGCACCACACCAATCCAGAACAGCTGAAGAAAAAAGATGCTTGGGAAGATGGAAAGATGTTTTGTTCACTGTAACTCACGGTGTCAATGAATTGTGCAATGGAGTCTGTAAGCATGGATCTTCCTGGGTGCTGAGTGAAGCAGAGGAGAAACGATGCCTCTCGGAGCTTTTGTGTCAGACTCTGAGCATTCATCACCATTTTTAGTCACTGTGTTTTAAGATGTGTCCATAAACAAAGGACTTGGAAAATATCTCTTTCAAGGATAGACTGAAAAAGGGTGGAAGACTTGAGGAAGCAAAAGTTAACAGCTTTCAAAGTATAACAATATAAGCAAGTTAATAAACGCTGAGTGGTAGGTCATAAAATTCCTTTCAGATTTATGTAAGAAAACAATATATTGTATAAAATCATAAAATGGATGACCTTTCTTCTCTTAAAAGCCTCAGCAATTTATCTTTAATGGCAACATAGTATTTGGAAATACTATTTCCTAAATAAACAATGTCATACTTCTTAACTTAAGGAAATGTACTTTGTTAACAAGAGTTTCAGCGCTTGTTTTATTCCCTTTCCTTTTTCTAGTGAGTTAGCCAAGCCTTGGTTGTGATGGAGAAGGACGCAAACCAACTCGAGAGGGACCACGTTCATAGCGTATATGAGAAAATTGCTCCTTGCTTCAATGACACACGCTACAAGGCATGGCCAAAGGTGCAGCAGTTCATTTCAGAGCAGGAACCAGGCAGTCTGATTGCTGATATTGGTGAGTGGGTTGTTTATCCCGTTGCTAATGACAGTTTAAGTATGTTCTCTCTATCAGTGTTTGCGGCAGAAGAGTTTGGAGCTTGTGAATCAAACTTGGGAATCCAAATGGCCAGACTGACTATCTGATTTGCCTCCCTCCATCGTTCATAGGTATATGAAGACAATATATATGAAGACAGTATCCAGTAGGTCACCTAAACTGAAGCACTAAACTGAGCTAAATATCATTAGTGGATGATAATGATAATGTTGTGTATTGAGATGATAATTCTGGAATTTGAAATTTTGTTTAGCTCTTACGCCGTGTATTCTGTGTGGCCAGTTTGAAGCAAGTGTCGTGACACTGTCCTGAGTGCTTTGGGGAGCAACATGTGACAGTTTTTAATTTCCAGAAGGTTTGAAAATGTCTACATGATAGGAAGGAAGCTTCTGTACTGGCTTCGGCCCCTGCACCAGAAGTGGACACATGCTGGTTGCCCAATTGAGATCTGGGCATTAACTCATCATTTCAATATGTTTCAGCTAGATTTCTAAATAGCTTTTTGGACTTGTAATCCTTTCCAGCAACGCATATGTGTAGTCTCCCCACTATGGCATGGGAGCATTTGTGAAAGGGAAAAGTTGCTGAGGGTTGTGCTAATCACACTAACTTTTTGGGTGTAATTCAAATATCACCATATATTTTTCCCAGTTGATCACAGTCTAAATGCTGGGAACTATATTCCTACCAGATCTTGGCAGGTTTTGCGGTGTTTTCAATGTCAACAAATAAAACAGGTATGAAGAGCCAGCACAATGAATTTTTACTTATATCACAGTAATGCTGTAATTTAAGCTCAGGCTTGGCTCCTGGGCTTTGGCCCGCAGAGGCTGCTGGTACGCTCTTGGAAGAAAAAAGATTCAGATTAGATCTCAGGAAGAATTTTTTTACTATGAGGGTGGTGAGACACTGGAACAGGTTGCCCAGGGAAGTTGTGGATGCCCCATCCCTGGAAGTGTTCAAGGCCAGGCTGGATGGGGCTTTGAGCAACCTGGTCTGGTGGGAGGTGTCCCTGCCCATGGCAGGGGGGTTGGAACTCGATGATATTTGAGGTCCCTTCCAACCCTAACCATTCTGTGATTCTATGATTCTTGTGCTGTCTGTGGCCAGAGATGAGTTTCATGTGAAAAACTTGCCAAGAGTGGTGCACGGCGCTGGAGAGGAGTCTACCTGCAGGGCTGTCCCCTGCCCCTCCATCCCTGGGAAGCAGCCTCTGGTGTCAGATTAGAGGAAATGTTTATAGTAGCTGTTGCTTGGCTTATACTGGAGCCTTTTCCTCCAAAAGTGAAAACCAGAAAAAGCCCTTTTCCAGTCAGAGATCCAGGGTAGTCCTCTTCCTGCTCTTTCTCCTTGGAAAATGGAGTCTAATATTAGCCAAGGGCTGGCACCATTTCACAGGACCTCTTCTCAGCTGGTGCTGAAGTCCGGCATGGGGAGGACTGAGGATGCTCCAGCTTTTCCCTGGATATCTTTCTTTCATTCCCTGGAGATGGGATCAGCAGTTACTATCAGAAGAGCAGTTAGAAGCAGACTTCTATCTGCAGCTCAGCGATGATTCATCTCCCATTTAAATGGCACAACAGATTGATGGGACTGGGAGGCTCCTTATCAAACATAGGGACCCACACTGGGTTTCAGAATAAGTGCTATGGGATGGCTGTAACCTAAATATAGGGATTTAAATATTTGGAAGGCTCCAAAATAACTATAATTAAAAAAAAAAAAAAAAAAAAAAAAAGAGATAAAATCTGGGCTCTGACCCAAGCTTTATATTTGATATAAGTGTAGACATAAACAGGATGTGAACTAAGGTCCGCACAAGGTACAGGGTATTATGTGAGCCCAATGCATTTACCTCCCTGATCTTAATCTGAACTATGATTTTTATGGTGCAAGTGAGAAGGCAAGTTTTTAAAATCAATAATATACTTTAAAATGCACTTTGTGTTAAGATCCAGATAATTCTGCAAACAAATTATCAAAAATTTAGATAAGAACCACTTAACTGCTGATATTAAAACCGTTCTTATCGAAAGATGTCTGCCTTTATTTCAACACAAGAAGTATTTCAGTTTGGGAAGATGTAAATTTCCGTGTCACAGGCTCCATTATGAAAAGGAAACTGCATGGAGATACCAGAAAAAGAAACTCCACTGTTGTCATGGTGACAGCAATTAGCAGCAGTTAAAACAGCAAACAATGGATTTAATGGTTTGGTCTAATAGTGACTTAATTACTTAGCAGTCTAGTTTGTCTATCAGCATTTCAATACACAGGAATAATTCAGTGCTGTGCTCCCACTACATGATGCTTTCACTTAGCATTTTGAGTCTATTACAAGTAGAACTGCAGTAGCATCATTACCATAAATATTTTTGATTCTATATGTGGTGGGAAAGCCAAGGTAAATGCTCTCTAGCAATCCTACTTGAACACCTCCTGTCACGCAGCAGAGAGCCTGCTAGACAGAAAGGAGCAGTCTGTGCTCATTGTACTGTGATGGTAAAAAATAGCCTGAATTCCACCGCAATTGTATCATCTCCTTTAAAACGGGTGGAGAATTTCAAGCTATTAGGCCAGCCAAGGGCTTACATCATGGCTTATGTCAGGAATACATTTTCTGTTATACAGACACCAAATGTCCACCTTTCTTTCTCCTCCTCATTATTTCTTCAGGCTGCGGAAATGGCAAATACCTTCACATCAATTCACAAGTCTATAAACTGGGTTGTGACTACTGTTTCCCCTTGGTGGAATCAGCACGGAATGAAGGCCATGAAGTTATGGTGTGCCATAGCTTGTGTCTGCCTTATCGAAGTGAGTGCTTTGATGCTGTCCTGTCCATTGCTGGTAAGTTCTGCATACTGCCAGTGTCTATAGGTCAGACCTTTAAAGGATCTAAAGTATTTAGTCTCTTCTAGGTTTGGGGTTTTTTCAGTGACCAACAGAATATTTTGGAGTTTGTAGACCAGGTAAATCTATATTAACACATGAAATGTATATTATTTTATATATGTGTGTGTGTACACATATATACACACATATATTATATATACATATATTCTACATAAACTCAGTGGAAAACTGCAAAATGGGTAAGTCACACAGATGTGAGCTGTTTTATTCTGATCCAAGCACATCTAGAATACGGTGTGCAAATCAGGAAAGAAGAGCCTTATTTTTGCCTTATTGCATGGCATAGATTTGAAATGTTGCCTCTATCAGGACCAAAATCCAACAAACCTTGCTTAGGAACACTGAGCGTATTCGAAGCTCTGCATTAAATCCTTCTGCACCTTTCCAGAGGTTCTTTACTCCCATGCTCCATGGTTTGTCAGCCAACACCACCATTTTTGTGCTGATGAGGATGATCATGACGCTGATCCAGCTGGAAAGTAACCAGCAAAAAGGAAGGTTACTTTTAGCCAAATCAGTTACCGAGTGCTTCACTGCAGAGAGACCTGTTTCAGCAAACACAGGGGATAATGCAGAGTAAAAACAAGGAGGCAATGACAAAGCAGGCAGAGTGGCACTGCTGCCTTAAAACATTCATCTAATAACCTCAGATTTCATTTCTTCACTGTTAGATTTTTCCTTTTTGTTTAGTTACCCATTTCAGTGTAACTTAATGATGGAGGAACTACCTGTCTTTGCCACTTTTAAAGCAGACATTCAATGGCAGCTTTAGCCTTTATTTTTTTCTCTTTTAAATTGTGCAGGTTCTGTTGTTTTGGGAGTCTTGCAATTACTCAACCACCTTTTAAAAGTTAGGTATTAAGCTTATAATGATTAAAAGTTGGACAACACTGGAAATAAAACAAATTACAGTGCTCAGCAAATTTGATTTTCATTTTCTCAACCAAAAGGGTGTGAAGGTCTCTAAGCCTTGTTAAATCAAAGTGAAATGTTAATACCTCCCATCTCTTGAAGTTAGTGAGTAGTGAGCCTTACACAGCCTCTTCTCCATGTCTCAGGTGACCTTTCTTTAAGCCCTGAAGGACTTCACTTTTCAAGTCCAGGTCCATGTCTTATAGTTTGACATTTGATGGAAATTTGAGATTGCATTATTATCAATGGTACATTATTGTATGGGGCTGTTGACCGTGCTTCGCTACACTGGCTGAAATCTTTCAGTCATGGTTTAGGAAACATGACCAAGAGCTAACACTCCTTATTAGTGGGCGTTCACATCCTTTGCCCAGACAGGGTAACAACAATCGTGTACCCAAAGGTGATTTGGCATCCTCTGGAAATCCAGGGTAAGGAAGTGAGGGACAAGCCAGAGATGTTGAAAAGGGTATGTAGCAATGTTCAGAAGTTGTCTGGCTCAAAGGAGTCAGTGTCCCAGGAGAACTTGTGAACAGGCTATAGAAAAGCAGAGTAGCTGGGCTGGGGTTGCTGCTGGAGATGCAGAACTATAGACCTTCCCATCCATAGCAAGCTCAAAGCCCTGTTTGCCTGGCTGTTGTGCAAGAAGCTGGAATCAGTGAGGAATCCAGAAGGACAATCGGGTTACAGGCAGAACAATGTGAGTATGGACTGTGGCCCTTTCAGCACCATAATATGGCTGCAAATTACAAAGTTATTTCTGTTGCAACCTTGACCCTCACAGATCATGCTTGAAATATAGTAATGATTGTATTTCCTTATTATTGCTGAAAAATCTGCTTTAGATGCATTATAAAGATTCAAATAATATGTTGAATTATTACATATAATAGTTTATAGTATAATGCTAGTATAGTACATATATACTATAGTTTGGATAAGCATGTCTTCTTCTAATCTTCAGGAGATTGTCAAAGGAAGCAAGAAATTTCTGTAGGTGTTCTAAAGCCAGGTCTCTGGTAAGAAATATTGGCAGAGGATGAGTGTCAAGCCTAACTTGATGATTTTTCCTTTTACTCAACATCTATTGCATATGCATATATAATGAATGATTTTTTGCCAGTTCCGTAAACGGGATAACCTATACTGACAATAAACAAATCTAGATGTGATATATCAGCAAAAGTTTAGAATGTGCTGCTTTAAAATTCTTAACTTTCTCTTCAAGGAGACAAATTTGCCCTGTGAGTGTGCAATTCATTCCACAATGTTTTCCCTGAAAAAGGAAATCATACTCACTTTCCCAGTGTAGTCATTGCATAATTTTATTTGAGATTTGATATCACCAAACAACAGAATCATCCCCTTTGCCATATAGTGATGCCTTTGTTATTGTTAACATGATGAAGCCATTCCTGTATTAATGAAATAAGTGGGATTTTTGCCACTTGCAGTAATGGAAAGAAGACTGGCACTCATATTGCCATTTTGGCTAGGGAATTGCTTGGAATCATAGAATCATAGAATTGTCTAGGTTGGAAGGGACCTTAAAGATCATCTAGTCCAACCATCAACCTAACTCTGACAAAAAAATAAAGAAATAGGAGATAAAAATTACTAAACCATATTCCTGAGGACCACGTCAACCCGTCTTTTGAACGCCTCCAGGGATGGTGCCTCAACCACTTCCCTGGGCAGCCTATTCCAATGCTGGATAACCCTTTCCGTGAAGAATTTTTTCCTAATATCCAATCTAGACCTCCCCTGGTGCAACTTGAGGCCATTTCCCCTTGTCCTATCTCCTGTGACTTGGGAGACGAGATCAACCCCCACCTCTCTACACCCCCCCTTCAGGTAGTTGTAGACAGCGATAAGGTCTCCCCTCAGCCTCCTCTTCTCCAGGCTGAACAACCCCAGCTCCCTCAGCCTCTCCTCGTAAGACTTACTCTCCAGACCCCTCACCAGCTTCATCATAATGCAGGACTGATTTTTTAGCATGGTTTTACCTCTGTCAAAGTGGATTTCCTTTTTACATGCAAAGGTCATGTTCTGTGTTAATAAAATCTTGTATATGCAGAGCTCTTGGACTCTATGATGGGCAAGGGATAAGAAGCAGCTTTTCCTATTAATTTAGATAAGTAATTTTTTTCCTCCTCAATGCAAAGTTGAAGACATCACATTTTCTTCTCTTGTTAGGAGTCAGATACTCAACTCAGTAAAGTTATTTTATATTACTGAAATATCTGATCAGTCTCTTCATCCCAGTGGGGAAAAAAGGGTTCCTGGAGTGAAGAGCATCAAATGGCTTTTCTTGGTGCTAATACCAATATGTGAAAATTAACTTTGCTTTAATCTGTGATCTTTTAGTTGTGGTGATTTAACAGAGAAAGTGAGGGGAACCTAAGAGACGTAAATCTGTCTAGTCCTCTAATTTGCACTGTCTGAGAAAATGGTCTGCATAATTGCAAATAGTAAAATTCTTAAAGAAGTCCAAATAAAGGTCCAGGAGAGTTTCCTTACTATATAAGGTTCTGTCTTTATGGTAAAATTCAATGAGATGCTGAGCAAGAAGAAACCAAGTGTTAGTATCAGATCATATCAGTGTAGTTATATTGCACTGTTGTGCCAGTTAATATGGGCACAACATTGCAATGCCATCATGTCATCATTTCTTTACCCCATAAAGAAATCTTGTATTTCTGCATAACCTTGGTTATTTCAGCACAATGGTTTGGTCAGGTAAGTATATCATCACTACCTGCCAGTTCGCCTAATTCTGTTTTTCCTAAGGATCAATCGGGATTTCATTCTAACAGTTTTTTAACTTTTTCCAACAAAAAGGCACCATGGTCACAATGTTAGATTCCCGAAAAGAAGCAATATTCAAGGCACAACAAGCAACCTGTCCCAGTGGAAAGCAGAGTATAATGAGATCTGGTATGACAGCATCAGGAACTCTTTAATGCCATAGAAATTGAAAAGAAATCATCATAAAGGACGACTATCAATAATTATAAGGGATGGTATGAAGAACCCAAGTCAGGATGACTACAGCATAACATGAATTAGAACTAGGATGAGGTTTTATAAGAGCATACAAAGCAAGAGGAAAACAAAAAGAAAAGAGCAAATAACACAGGGAAGTTGTATTTTTCCTTGGTTAATAGCAGTCATCAATAAGTTAGTAGAGTTTTAACCAGAGGACAGGAGTTTAGACTATAAAAAGGAAATAACATCTTAAAGAATATTTAGATAAATTAGGTTACACAAATTGTTAGGAAATCATAAAATTAATCTTAAACTACTGTGAGCTAGCAGATTATCTTTAAGATCTCCAGTAAGTGAAGAAAAGCAAATATAATACTTTTTTCCAAAAGAGAGAGAAATAAAATCAAGAGGGAGCCAGTCTAACTTAGATTTATGCAAGGATACTAGAATAAATAATTTAAATAATCTAATTTAAATAGAATAAATTATTTAAACCTACAGAATACTAATGTAATGGGAAACAGTCAACATGTCTTTGTCAGGAGCAAGCCAATCTGCTTTCTGTCTTTGACAGGGTAATCATCCCAATAGACAGAGCAGCAGGAGGAGACATGATATATTTTGACTCACATGTCACTGTTGCAAGTAAAATAAGTAAATAGAGCTAAGAATATGGAAAAAAAATCATTCTCAAAATGAATCAGTGGTTCACTGTCTAATCCAGACACATTTCAAATGGGATGCTCTTGGGACCCCCCATACATCTGTTTCTATGCAAATTTTAATTAATAACTTTGATAGGAAGCTAGAGAGCATATTGAACAATTTGTGAATGACTCCTGGGTAGGAAGAGTCGGAATTATTTTGGAAGATGGGATTTGACATCCAAATGATGGAGAGTTGCCTGGAATCAAGAAGAGATACAGAAACCATCGAGAGGGACATACCGTGCTTGGGAAGGAAACATTCAATGAACAAAGGGAGAAATAATGGCCAGGCAAGATGGACCACAGCCACTACGTGTGAGTAGTGTC